TCTTGGCAGAGATACTGGAGTAGTTTTCCATTTCCTTCTCTGTCTCATTTTGCAAATGAGGAAACTGAGGCAAACAGAGTTAAGTGCCTTGGCCAAGCTAGTAAGTATCTGAAGCCAGATTTGAACTCATGAAAATGAGTCTCTTTGATTCCAAGCCAAGTGCTCTATTCATTGTGCCACCTAGCTGTCCAACCATAATTAAGAGAATAGTTATATATAATTCTGTCCCAGTACCCCCTTTCTCTGAGAAGAGCAGAACGGCCACCCTTTGGCCCTGATCTCTTCCTTTGTCTTTCGGCAGGAGTCAAAGTCCCTTTAAAGAAGAATGGAAAGAGGAGAGGGTAGAAATATTTATTTTTGTCTCTCTGAGAGCCACATATAGACAGACCCATGTGGTCTGATCACACATAACCTTCATGGGCAAAATCAAAACAGCACCTTGCCACCCTAGTTACAGCTAGTTAGCTTCTACTGCAGAAGTTAAACTAGGATTTTCCTGATTCCAGGTCCAGGCCTGGAGTCACTTGCATTACCTAATTATTCCTCCCATATGGCACTCTATCTCCCTCCTCTACTCCTTTGCCTTGACTATTGACTATGTCAGGAAGACTTTTCCCTCACATACCCTTCTTGCCTGTGCCACAAAAAATTAGTATCTTCCTTCAAGATGCAGCTCAGGTACGACTTTTCACATGAAGCCTTTCCTGATGCCTCCAACTGCTAGTGCCCTTCCCTCCCAAACTCCCTTGCTTTAATTGCTTTGTAGTTTTTGCATTTTTCTCATTATATTTAATCTGCATAAACACAATATGTATATGTGTACATAGATATGTACTTCTTGTGTGTCTCCCATTAGAATACAGAATGTAATTCCTAGAGAATAGGACTTGTTTCATTTTTTATATTTATATACCTAGTACCTAGCATAGTTCCTAGAACATAGTAGGGACACTTAATAACTGCTTATTGGGGCAGCTAGGTGGCGAAGTGGATAGAGTATCGGCCCTGAAGTCAGGAGGACCTGAGTTCAAATCCGGCCTCAGACCAAACACTTGATACTTACTAGCTGTGTGACCCTGGGCAAGTCACTTAACCCCTATTGCCTAAAAAAAAAAACTGCTTGTCAACTGACTGAACTCAGAGGAGGACATGCATTTAAGTGATTTTTTGGAACTGTAACAAATGACAGTGTCTCAGAGAGGGGGAAAAAATCTGTACATAAAAAACCAAAGAAGGGTGAATACTCAGTGTCTTTGGAGGCTGAATGAAATTAGTAATTGTGATCTTTGGGATTTCTGGAATCACAGACCTTGCCTAAGACACAAAGTGTAGTTATCTGTCCTTAGGAGAACTGGAAAAATCAGGAGAAGATTGAAAAGCAGCATATTAGAATAAAGAGCTTAGGTGTGAGCAGAATTGAGTAGGTCTCAAAGCTCTGAGTAAGAATCTTCAGTGATTGATTCAGTCTTGACTAAACTTCATCAAGACATGGGAGAATATGTAGAGCAATTTGGAACTATGCCCAAAGAGCTATAAAACCTTTGACCAAACAATATCACTACTAGGTCTGTATCTGAAAGAGATAAAAATCAAAAAGAAAAAGGATCCATATGTACAAAAATATTTATAGCAACTCTTTTAGTAGGTGAAAAAGAATTGGAAATTTAGGGGATGTACATCAATTGGGGACTGGCTAAACAAGTTGTGGTATATGATTGTAATAGAATACTGTTGTGCTGTAAGAAATGACGAGCAGGATACTCTCAGAAAAACCTGGAAGGACTTACATGAACTGATGCAAAGTGAAATGAGCAGAACCAGAACATTGTATACAGTAATAGCAATAATATATGATGAAGAACTGTTAATGACTTAGCTATTTTCAGCAAAACAATGATCCAAGACAGATCTGAAGAACTTATGATGAAAAATGCTACCCATCTCCACTGATACATCAAAGAACTGATGGAGTATGAATACAGACTGAGGCATACTTTTTCTTTATTTTTCTTGTTTTTTTTCTGTCCATGTTTTCTTTCACAAGATGACTAACATGGAAATATATTTTGTATGATTGCACGTGTCCAACCTCTATCAAATTGCCTGTCTTTTCAATGAAGGAGTAAGGGAAGGAGGAATAGAATTTGGAACTCAAAAATTTTTAAAAAACAAATGTTAAAAATTGTTTTTATATGTAATTGGGGAAAAATAAAATATTAAATAAAAATAAATATATTTGAGGAAAAAAAAGACATGGGAGGGTATTAGAAGTTCGGTAGCGGAGTTTGACTGCTCTGTTCCTACAGACTTGACCCTAGAGACCAGGAAGATTTTCAGAAATTTATAGCTGTGAGAAAGGCAGTTGTCCTGGTTTTTTTCCCCCTACAAATCCTGAAATTTTATTGAATGCTAATAGTTCTAGTCTAGGACTTAGGATATATATGATCCCAGCTGAGACTCTTAAGATCAAATAGGATCACAGATGTAGAGCTGACAAAGACCTTAGAAGCCATCTGATCTAACCCTCTCATCCTACGGAGGAGGCACCTGAGACACAGATAGGCAGTGTCTTGCCCAGGGTCATGCTATGGGATATATAGCCAATGCCAAGTCATGGAATGATGGCTCTAAAGCTGCAAGAGGTCCTTGAGGCCATTTTGTCCAACACCCCCTCATTTCATAGATGATGAAACTCAGGCTAAAAGAGTGTCCAGTGTTTAGCTTTGTGCCAAAAATCTGGTTGGAGAAAAGAGTAAAAGCATCTAAAGTAAAAATTTTTGGACATCTATGGCTTTTGATTATCTATGTTTTAACAGCCTCCAAAGTCTCTGGGCTTAAACAGACAGGATATGATCCTAGAGAATGACTTCCCACAAAATACAAACCATGGGTGTTGTCTGTCTCTCTTCAGCTAGGTGCTCCCAAATGCAATTACTCCAGGAAAATCTTCAAAAATGCTCCTGATATAGTTCGTGTCTTAGTTTCCCCACGTGTGTAGGAAATGGGTCTCTAGCTCCCATACAAGCACTCAAAGAAATAATACAGATATAGCACTCTAGCCTTTATTTTGCTCCACAGAAAATACATAAGATGCCAAAGACTCACAGGGACACATAAACTGATACAGAAAACAATAACAACCACCACCATAAAGTAGTTAAATAACCTATTAACTCCCCAGATTCCCCTAAGAAAGGTAATGAACTTGAGGTTGCTATGGGGTTGTCCTTTGACAAGGCTGTGGTACAGAAACAGGTAGAGAAATTTCTGTGGAATGTGTCATAATTGGATTAGGTATCCAGGTCATTTCAAAAGCATTTGGTTTTAAATGATAAAGATGGGACACTGAAAGAATTCAAAATAGTTTCAAGGCATAGGAGCTCCCTGAGGAACTCTAACTTGTCTTTCCCCTGAGATGAGATTTCATTGTATTCTATGTCTGAGTTTAACCTGGTGCCTTAAGAGCCCAGGCCATATCACTCATGAGGTTCTAGACCTCACAGGAGCTCCTGGGACTCTTCAGACCATTACTGTTGCCTTTGGCTATAGTGGTTGTGTGTGCTCCTGGTGGGAACTTGAACTCAGTTACTGGTTTATGAGAGATCTTACTGATCTAGTGAGTTCTGGTATAGCCAGGGCAAAATGGACATTACCCAACTGGTATAAAGTGGGCCAAGGGCCTTAGAGACCCTTCTGCCAGCTTCAACCTCATAACAGAAAAAAAGAAATATCACGGAGAACTTCTAATGAAGTCATTGGCTAGCAGAGCTACCTTGGAGGCCTCAGGTGAGAAGTTGAGGGAGAACTCCTCTCTAGGGATCAATGCTAGGCAGGAACCTGGTCAATTTCACTCAGAATAGGCAGAACATCATGATCCAATATTTACATAAAATTTCAAGATTTTTCAAGATTTTCTACAAATGTTATCTTGTTTTATCCCCACGATGACCCTAGGAGGTTATTGCTATTATTACCCCTATTTTAGAGATGAATACCTTCTCTCTTAGACTCCCTATAGATAGATAGATAGATAGATAGATAGATAGATAGATAGATAGACAGATAGATATAGATATAGATATAGATATAGATAGATAGATACATACATACATACATACATATAGTTATATAGATATAGATATCTTATTTGCATGTTGTCTCCGCCATTAGACTCTGAGTTTCTCTAGAGTAGGTATTGTTTTCTGCCTTTCTATCCTCAGCATAGTACCTTGTACACAGTAGGTGCTTAATACTAGCTCACTGACATATAGAGGTTAAGTGACTTGCCCAGGGTCACATTCCTAGTAAGTATTTGAGGTTGGATTTGAACTCAGGTCCTCCTGACTATAGGGTCACCACTCTATTCACTGGGCAACTTAACTACTTCCAGTTTTTAAAATGAAAGACATATCAGTATGCCCTCCAAGCAGAGAGGCAGTTGAAGCAGATAGGTGGTGGTATGGACAGAGCGGTTTCAGGAAGACCTGAGTTCAAATATGATCTCATATATTTGCTAGCTGTGTGATCCTGCACAAGTCACTTAACCCTGTCTCAATTTCTTCATCTGTAAAATGAGCTGGAGAAGGAAATTCAAACCACTCCAGTATCTCTGCCAAGAAAACCTCAAATGGAGTCAAAAAGTCCTGGAGCTGCCCTTTAAAGGAGGGGGCCCCCAAAGGGAGACAGCTGCCTCAGGGAGATGGCCCTAGCCAAGAAAAGCTAGGAATTCTTATAAGGGAAAACCTGTCATGGGCTGGGAGATGAAGTAATCAGGGACATAAACGTAAGTAATTAAGGACAGGAAGGTGATGTAATCAGGGACATGTAGGCAAGGGGGCGGTGGCTCAGAGTTTTGCCCACATCTAGGCACATCAATATTCCATTGTTCAGCCCATTTGCCCAGGGTGGAGGGACCCTTGTTAGTGTCAGTATTTCACTGGCCAGTCCATTTGAATCTTATTATCTCATTGATCAGTCTATTTGAATCTCATTGTCTCCAGAAAGGCTACTCTCATCATCTCCCCCCTCAAGAAGTAGGTACCCAAATTCATTCGGAAAGAAGGGCGAGGGTCATGCATTCCTCATCAGGACACCTGGATTCTGGGCTTGCACTTGGCTGACACTGACTATCTATGACCCCTGGTAAGTTAACTAACCTTTTGAGCCTCTGTTTCCTCACCTAAAGATAACTAGGTTGGGCTAGATGCATGGAAAGTGGGGTTGAAGGAAAGACAGAGAATGTGCTGGGATGAAATGATGGTGAAGAAGCTGGTAGGAGTAAATGAACAATTTTTGCCACCTTTTCTCCCCAGCATTTTCAGTGAAACTGCTGGGAGACCAGTTCTTTTCAGTAGAGTCAAGTATACACTGCATTTCTTTTTTCTTTTTAACATTCTTTTTTCTTTTTAGTTCCAAATTCTCTCCCTCCTCCACCCAATGAGAAGCTAAGCAATATGACACCCACTATACATGCATATACTGCATTCTAACTCTTTTCTGATGTCTTGGGCTGAGGCTTTTTCCCAAAAGAGATCTAAATTGGGAGAGTACTGTGAAAGGTTGAAAATCAGTGTTTTAAAAAGCCAGAATTTAAAGATTTCCCTTAACTGTTACCCAGAGGGAGATCTCAACCAAAGTCATTCTTTGAGCCCACTAGAGGCACAGGATGGAATGCCCTAGGGGAAGAGCTAAGAGTCCAGAAAAGGTGAGTAAAGACATAATGTGTGTGGAGGGTGACAGAGGTGGATAGTGTGATGTAGGGTCCTTCCTGGGCCCAAAGACCCTGGAGATCTCTACAAAAGGTGGGAAACCCAGGCTAAGATCGAAAGTAATCAAGTATTTAAGGTGTCATGGGGAGGAAGAGGAGACAGATCCCAGAGTTCTCAGTGGGATCTTCAGAAAAAAAAAAAAAACAACCCAGAGAAAACAGTGTCCAAAGCTGTGTTCTAGTTTGCTGAGGGCAGCCCTGGCCTTAGCTGGAAAGTGGAAAGAAGTTCAAGTTTTTGTCAGAGGCTTCCTTGTCCAATTTCTGTGCTCTTCCTCCACTGTCCACATCCTCCTTTTATCCCATTAGTATTTCTAGGAAAACTTGATGGGGAAAAAAATCTAATGTTTAATTAGAACAGAAATATATTTAATTCAGTATCTTTCATCTGTGACTCTTCTTCCTTGTTTCACTTTCTATGACACTCTTTGATTTTTCTTTGTGTCTTTTTCTGTTGCCCTTGCTTTCCTCCCCCATCTCCACCTCCACCCCCTACTTTCTTATGTTTTTTTCTGACATTAAGGAGTAAATGTCTTCTAACTCTCCTGGTTTCTTCCCACATCAAATATTCCAATCAGGCTTTTACACATATTATCTCATTTGATTCTCACAATAACTCCTTGAAGGGATATTGTTATCCCCATTTTATAGATGAGAAAACTGAGGTAGACAAAGGTTAATTTCTGAGGCAGGAACCAAACTTTAGTCTTTCTGATTCCAAGTCCAGTGCTCTATCCTGAACCACTTCTTGCAGACACATTCCTTGTAATTACCTCATTGTCATAAAAGTGGACAAGAACCTTTCTGTCTGAGACTGCACCCTTTTACATAGGTGGCAGAATGATAACTGGGCTTTTGGAGTTAAGAAGGAAGGAAATAAGTACTTATTTTTTTTAATGTAAATTTATTTATTTTTAGTTTTCAACATTTACTTCCACAAGATTTTGAGTTCCAAATTTTCACCCCATCTTGCCCCTCCCCTCACCCCAAGATGATCCTAGTCTGCCCTCTCTTCTATCTTTCCCCCCCTTCTCTTATCCCCTTCCCCTTCTATTTTCCTGTAGGGCTGGATAGACTTCTGTACCCCATTTCCTGTATTTCTTATTTCCCAGTTGCATGTGAAATTTTTTTTTTAAACATGTTTTTAAAACTTTGGGTTCCAAATTTTCTCCCTTCTTCCCTCCCCACCCACCCTCATTGAAAAGGCAAGCAAGCAACTCAATATAGGTTATACATGCGCAGTTATGCAAAACATTTCCATAGTAGACCTGTTGTGAAAAACTAACTTTATTTCCCCTTAATCCTATCCTGCCCTCACATTTATTCTATTATTTCTTTTGACCCTGTCCCTCCTCAGAAGTATTTGCTTCTGATTACTCCCTTTTCCAATCTGCCCTCCTCTCTACCATCCCCCTGCTCTTTTGTCCCCTTTTCTCCCTAATTTCCTATAGGGTAAGACAGATTTCCATACCCAATTGAATGTGTACATTATTCCCTCCGTAAGGCAAATCCTTTTTACTCATGCTGTTTCTTTATTCCCTGGCCTTTAAAGAGGTTAAGCTCTCCTGCTGGGGAACAGAGAGCACTGACCCAAGCTTCTTGTGTTGGGAGCCTAGGTCTTGGTCACTGGCTTTGTGTGCTGGTGTCTCTTATGTTGGCAATTGGAGGCTGTAGGTTTCTGGCAGCGTACCTCGTGTTAGGCTGGAATCAGCAAGGCTGGAACTTTCAGGCAATTCTAGGTTGTCTGCTGTTCCTTTCCTTTAGCTTTCTTCAGCTTCTTTTAGATGGGTGCTGTAAGGTGTTTATCTGCCTGGGGCCCCCTGCAGTGTTGTCTCCCTCATTTCTGCTAATGCACTGGAGATTCCTTTTCCATAGAGTGCCTAGGCACCTGGTGGTTTTCTGAGCCAGTTTCCATCGTTCCCCCTGCCCTCACTGAGGCATGTGGAGGTCCAGGTGTTGGTGTTTGCCTGTTCTACCACCTGGGCTTCAGGATTTCTTCACAATTGGAGGCTGCAGGGCTCCCATAGCTCACCTGTTGTTGGGCTGGAACCAGCAAGGCTGGAGCTTTAGGAAGCCTTTAGGTTGTTTTCTTCACCTCCTTTCAGTTGAATGCAGCAGGGTACTTATCTGCTTGGGGCCCCTCATAGTTCTGCCTCCCTTACTTTTGCTGAAGCACTGGGAGACCCTTTTGCTGGGCTGCTTCACTGCTGTCCCCCATCTTTCTTCTAATTCAGCTCCCAGAAGCAGAAGTCCTGTAAGGCAAATCCTATGAGAATAAGATTCACTCATTCCCTCTCACCTTCTCCTGTTTCCCCTCCACTGCTAAGAGCCTTTTCTTTTCCGCCTTTTTTTGTGAGTTAATTTACCCCATTCTACCTCTCCCTTTCTTCTTCTCCTAGTATAATCCTCTCTTATCCCTTAATTTTATTCTCCAGATATGACCCCTTAATCGTCAACTCACCGTGTGTCCTCTATCCATCTATCTATCTACATACATATAATTTTTTTCCCTCCAACTATCCTAATACTGACAAAGGTCTCATAAGTTATAAATTTCATCTTTCCATGCACGAATGTAAACAGTTCAACCTTAATAAGTCTCTTATGATTTCTCTTTCCTGTTTACTTCTTCATGTTCCACTTGAGTCTTGTATTTGAAAGTCAAATTTTCTATTCAGCTCTGGTCTTTTCATCAAGAATGCTTGAGAGGAGCCAAGATGGCAGAGTGAAAAGGTAGTCACTCTCACTCTCCCCTATCAACTTCTGAAAACACAGAAAATATCACCCCAGAAAAAAATCCCTGAAACAGCTGAACTAGAAGAAAGACAGGGAGCAGCAGTGCAGCAGCCCAGCAAAAGGGTCTCCCAGTGCCTGAGCAAAAATAAGGGAGGAAGAACTATGAGGGGCCCCAGGCTGATAAGTATCCTGCCGCATTCATCTGAAAGGAGGTGAAGAAAACAACCTAAAGGCTTCCTAAAGCTCCAGCCTTGCTGGTTCCAGCCCAACAACAGGTGAGCTATGGGAGCCCTGCAGCCTCCAATTGTGAAGAAATCCTGAAGCCCAGGTGGTAGAACAAGCAAACACCAACACCTGGTGAGGGCAGTGAGGGCAGGGGGAATGATGGAAACCAGATCAGAAAACCACCAGGTGCCTCGGCACTCTATGGAAAAGGAATCTCCAGTGCATTAGCAGAAATGAGGGAGACAACATTGCAGGGGGCCCAGGCAGATTAAACACCTTACAGCACCCATCTAAAAGAAGCTGAAGAAAGCTAAAGGAAAGGAACAGCAGACAACCTAGAATTGCCTGAAAGTTCCAGCCTTGCTGATTCCAGCCCAACATGAGGTAAGCTGCCAGAAACCTACAGCCTCCAATTGCCAACATAAGAGACACCAGCACACAAAGCCAGTGACCAAGACCTAGGCTCCCAATACAAGAAGCTTGGGTCAGTACCCTCTGTTCCCCAGCAGGAGAGCTCAATCCCTTTAAAGGCCAGGGAATAAAGAAACACCATGAGTAAAAAGAAATGTACCATAGATTCATATTATGAGAAGAGTGAAGATCAAGACAGAAATTCGGAAGAGGACAACATTGTCAACAAACCCACATCTGCAACAACAAAACAAGAAAATGATAAATGTTGGTGAGGATGTGGGAAAATTGGAACACTAATACATTGTTGGTGGAGTTGTGAAATGATCCAACCATTTTGGAGAACAATCTGGAACTATGCCCAAAGGGCTACAAAAATGTGCATACCCTTTGATCCAGCAATAGCACTTCTAGGGCTATATCCCAAAGAGATCAAACAAATGGGAAAAGGACCCACATGTACAAAAATATTCATAGCAGCTCTTTTTGTGGTGGCAAGGAATTGGAAATTGAGAGGATGCCCATCAATTGGGGAATGGCTGAGCAAGTTGTGGTATATGAATGTAATGGAATACTATTGTGCTATAAGAAATAATGAACAGGGTGACTTCAGAAAACCTGGATAGACGTATATGGTCTGATGCTGAGTGAAGTGAGCAGAACCAAGAGGACTTTGTACACAATAACAGCCACATTATACAATGACTAATATTGTTAAACTGAACCCTTCTCAGCAGTACAAGGATCTAAGACATCTCCAGAGGCCTTGGGATGGAAAACGCTGTCCACATCCAAAGAAAGAACTATGGAAGTCGAATCACTATCACTATTTTTACCTTCTGTTGAATTTTGTTTCATCTTTCTGATGGTTCCTCCTATTACTTTTAATTTTTACTTACAACTTCACTAAGGCAAAAATATGTTTAATAGGAATGTAAATGTAAAACCTATATCAGATTGTGTGCCATGTTGGAAAGGAAGGGGGGAAAGATTTTCAACTCAAAAGCATATGGAAGTGATTGTTAATGAATCAGTAAATTAATAAAATTGGGGGGGGGAAAGAATGCTTGAGAGTCCTCTATTTCACTGAATGACCATTTTTCCACTGAAGGATTACACTCAGTTTTGCTGGGTAGCTGATTCTTGGTTGTAATCCTATCTCCTTTGCCCTCCAGAATATTATATTCCATGCCCTGTGGTCCTTTAATGTAGAAGCTGCTAAATCTTGTGTTATCTTGATTGAGTTTCCATAATACTTGAATTGTTTCTTTCTGGCAGCTTGTAATATTTTCTCCTTGACCTGGGAACTCTGGGATTTGGCTACAATATTCCCAGGAGTTTTCCTTTGGGAATCTCAGGGGGAGATTGGTGGATTCTTTCAATTTCTATTTTGCCCTCTGGTTCTAAAATATCAGGGCAGTTTTCCTTGATAATTTCTTGAGAGATGATGTCTAGGCTCTTTTTTTGATCATGGCTTTCAGATAAGCACCTAGTATGTGACACGCACTGTGCTATGTGCTTTACAAATATTAACTCATTTGATCCTTACAACCACCCTGGTTGGTGGATGCTATCATTATACCCATTTCACAGCTGAGAATACTGAGGTAAACAGAGCTTAGTGACTTTCCCAGGGTCACATAGCTAGTAAATGTCTGAGGATGGATTTGAACTTGGGTCTCCCTGACTCCAGGTCCAGGAGCTAAACTCTGTCTATCACATAACCGAGTTGCCTCAAGCAGAATCGAATTGAATTCCTGCCTCAGACATTTACATTAACTATATGACACTGGGCAATTCACTTAACCTGTGTGTCTCAGTTTCCTCATCTAAAATATGAGGGGGTTAGACTTATAAGGTCTCTTCTAGCACTGAATCTATCATAAACTCAATGGGTATAGCTGTGAGTCTGACGACTAGGGGGTGGAGAAGATAGCTAGAAATATTAATGTAGTGAAGACTACAAATGCCATCCATATCATTAGCAAGGCCCACACATAAGGAAGTGACTGTATTGGCCAGAAAGGAGAGAAAAGGTGAATCTGCTACCAAAACTGAAACAAATTCAGCTTTGATGGTGAACCTGTACTTAAGGAGAGAACCTCCAAAAATAACAAATCTTACCCAGCAGCCTCACCTTCCTTCCCCACTGATTCTCTTCCTATAAAATCAAATTTCCTGACAAGGCACCCAACTGACAGCTAACAGCATCCCTCCTTCCCTGCACCTGACAGTCATAGTGTTAGCCTCAGTATCCTTCCTGAGGCATTTTTTTTTGCCCCTGGTAGGTCTCAACAAACAGTGAGACCAGCTCTGGCTCCAAACTGAGCTCAGCTATGCACAGTTCTCCAGGGCCTTGTGCAACATTATAGAACGCCAAAGGACATAAACTATTGTCATATCATTCTTTTGTTCTCTCCTACCCAGACTCCCTCAGACATCTAATGTATCCTTTTTTGCATTTGCATTTTGCTGTTGGTCAGTCATGTCTAACTCTTCTGGACCCCATTTGGGGTTTTCTTGGCAAAGATAATGGAGTGGTTTGCCATTTCCTTCTCCAGCTCATTTTACAGATGAAGAAATTGAGACAGGGTTAAGTGACTTGCCTAGGGTCACAGAGCTAGTGAGTGCCTGAGGCCAAATTTGAATTCAAGATGATAAGTCTTCCTGAACTCTACCTTCGTGGTCACCTAGCTACCCTGTTGCATTTGCATAATTAACTGCTAATATAGTGTATAAGAGCTTTGTGCAATGAAATCTCTGGAAGTAGAAGGCTCTTAGACCAGTGATGACAAATTCAAATGGAAAAAGAGGGCCACTAAACCGTATATAAGGATCCTTACCACAGCTTATTGACTTAGAAAACCATATACTGCATTAACATTATCTCTTTTCTATTGTACTTCTATTTATTTTGTTAAATATTTCCCAATTACACTTTAATCTGGTTTAGGCTCCACTCTAGATTGCTTCCTTGCCAATTCTGTCTGCCCTCCTCATTGCTTTAGTGTAAAATACTATTCCCTCCTTCATCTTCTCCCTAGTATTCCCCTCTATCTCCCAACCAGGTTCATTTTCTCCTTAAGAGTCCTTATGATAAAGTTTACTCTCAATACACATTTTTCAGCCACTGAGCATATATTACTTAATTATTGCTTTTGATACACTTCCCATCGAAAGCCTCTTATTTACTATGAGGGCCCATGTGGTCCTAATCACACATCACAGGCATTAACATTTTCCCCAGGCACCCAGACTTACAGTTTCAGTCCTATGTGACTCTTCCTTGGCTCTTGCCTTCTACTGCCAATCAATTCCCAAATAGTCTTGATTATTTATTTACACTGCTTATTATGCATATAGACTTCTTTCCATTTTTATTTGTATTCTCATCTGATATCTTGGCTCATGTTCACTTCTAGGCTGAAACACCCCCTCCTCTGTGTTCTCCCTTCAAGCTCTTCCCAGCCTTCAAAGTGCAGCTCATAACCAAGAAACACAGTAACAGCAATATTGTTTTAAGAATGACTTTTGAGCAAATAAGTTATCTATTACAAATACCCGAATTAATTATAAAGGACATATGAAGAAAGATGCTATCTGTATCCAGAGAAAGAACTGATAAATAGATGTAGCAAATAATTTTACAGATACATATATATATATATATATATATATTTAAACATACACATACATATACATATGCCCCCCCCATTTATGTCTAATGGTAGCCATCTTGGGAGGAGAAGGGAAGAAAAAACAAGAAATTTAGATCATAATTTCATTGGCATGTTTGAAAGGAATAGCAAATTGTGCATAGTAGATTTGCAGTTTCATGTTTGATCTTTTTTCCTGTGCTATGTTATGGAAATACTTGCTTTATTCCATAAAATAAAATTTGAAAAATGAATATTAAAAAGCCCACCAAAGTCCAGCTCATCTTCCTCTTCCTCTTTGAAGGTGTCAGCTCATAGGACCTCTAACCTTTGAACTCCTAAGGCCACTCCTATACGTACCTCAATCACTTGGCAGTTTGGCTCTACTGTCTTTCATCATTAATAATCTTCTTATAATAGGCAGAAGACTTAATAATAGCTAGAATTTATATGACACTTTAAAGATTGCAAAGCACTTTATATATATCATCTCATTTGAGTTTGTCATCAGTAGGTGAAGTGGCTTCTTAGAAGAGCTTAAAGAATTCTTGACACATTTCAGGTTTTTTTTTTAATTACAGGAGATTAAAAAGTACAAACCAGAGGAATAGTCTTGAGACCAGGAAACTCGAAGGGGAAGCAATTCTATGATTTTAAGTTTGCAAAGGCACTTGACAAATATTATCTCATTTGATCCTCACAACAAGCCTGGAAGGTAGGTACTAGTATTATCCCTATCTTGCTGTTGAGGAACTGAGGCAGACTGCGGTTAAGTGACTTGCCCATGGTCATTAGTTAATGCTTGAAGCCACAGTTGAACTCAGGCCTTCCTGACTCCAGGTACAGTGCTCTATTTTCTATACCACCCAGCTGCCTCCAATGGGCACCCTTGGTATTACTGTGCCTGTCCTTCTGAAACCTGTGCCTTTCCTCTGAAACCTAGATGTGTGGCCTCCCCCATTAGAATGTGAGTCTGTCTGGGTCTAAGGGTATGAAAAATTTTAAATCTAGTTACCTTTTTCTACTACTCTGAGCCCCTAAATGCCTTATGTCTTCAACATCCCCAATCTCTCGGACATTTCTACTCCCATTCTATTTCTCCTACTCCATCCTCCTTTGTTCTCTTCATCTCTTCTTTCTTTTCCATTTTTTTTCCCCTCTCTCCGCTTTAGCTTGAGTTTTCCCTGTGATGTTTACTGGCATAGCAGTCAGGGCCCAAGAGATTACTGATCTAAGAAATGACAGGAAGAGAGAGTGGATGCTTTAGGGAGAATCAAGAATGAAAACCTTAGGTGGTCTTTGTGCTGAGTCAATTAGGCACACAGTATTTCCACATTCACACTCCGTGGCAATTTTCCTAGGATGAGACATCACTCCATTAATAGTAATATTCGCTTCCTAAGTATTCCTTATACCCAATGCCAAAGAAATAAGTTGGGCAGATCTATTCTAACTATTATTATTTCTCTATGTCAAGGAATCTGAAGAGTCCTATATTGTGGAAAGGAACCCCCAGAATCCAGCTGATCTCTTAGATCCTGGCAGCCGACCAAGGCGATCCTAGGAGATGGGGGAAGGGAAGGAGAATGAGGGATACTTATGTACACCTAAAGGCATGGACTTGTCTTTTCCTTCAGGATCTGATCAAGTGGCCACCATTACCCATGGTTGACCCCGGGCTATCCTTGGAACAAAGAAATAGACCCTTGGTTCCCAAAGAAGTATGGTGATTTTATAAATTGTTAAAGGTACTCAGTGTTTTCGGCAGCGAGGTGGTGCAGTGGATACAGCATCAGGCCTAGAGTCAGGATGACTCATTTTCCTGAGTTCAAATATGGTCTCAGACATGTACTAGCTGTGTAACCTTGGGCAAGGCACTTAACCCTAATTACTTCAGTCTACTCATCTGTAAAATGAGTTGGAGAAGGAAATGGCAAACCACTCCAGTATCTTTGCCAAGAAAACCCCAAAAGGGGCCATGAGGAGTTGGACATGACTAAAAATGACTAAACTGTCAAAATACAAATGATAAATTGTTAATTGTACTTTATTTACTTTAGGTTCCCAGTTTCTAAGATTTGCTACCTGGCAAGGAAGAGCACAGAACTACTGTGAAGAAGAAGAGAAATATGTGAATCTGGTTAGGTCTTAGAGAAAAGGGAAGTTGGTAGGTTCCATGATGGGATATACATGTAAGTTCTATCAGGTTGTTTTGGAACTCAGTGGGTTAAACAGTAGAGATCAGAGCTAAAGCACTAATTCTGTTTTCCCTAAAACGGGATGGAGATGCCCAACTGGGATTTTCATCCTGTGTGGATTCACTCCAAAGTGCTGCCAGAGCCTCTGGGGGATACCTGGGGTGTAGGGAAAGACAAAGGACTGATGGCAAGGCAAGCAGGAGAGGCAAGACCCTTGTTTCATAATATCTGTACTTCTTTCAGTGGTAGCAATGGATTCTGAATGCTGGTAGAAAAAAAAAAGAAAATACAGGAAGAGAAGGCAGCAATCCTTGAGGAAAGAAACAGTCAGCAAGGCCAACAGATACAGAGAAGAAGCAATGTAAAAAGTGCTGCAGGATAGAAATGGTGAGTGGCATTAACTAGGAATGTTGACAACTCTGAGCCACAATTTAGTTGGTACGCCCTTTGAAAGAGAGGTGGGATATGAAAAAATCAACATTTTAGAGAAAAAAAAAGCAGGGCAGGGAAAAATCAGATCATCTTTATGCCCTAAGAGGAAGCAGGAGGTTAAATTTTCCACAAGAAGCCATTATATGAAATGTGAGAAGAGATGCCTTGTAACTCAAACACCATACAGGTTAGGGTCCCTTCTATAAAGGACAAGTTTTACAAATGGAAGAGTTTATTTGGCTTAGTACATATTTAGCACTCTAAACATAGGATGAAAGAAGGAAGGATTGGATAAATAAATGAATGATCACAGCGACTCCTTCTAATTATCATTACAGCTGGAAACCACAAAATCTTAAGGAACCTAAAGTGTCCACAGCCTGTCTCTGTGGGATCAGCAGCAAATCAGAGATCTCAAGACAGGAATATGATGTAGAGGAAATAATTACAGTGTTTTAACATGTCAGTGAGTTGTTCTCTGTTTCTTTCAAAATCTTTCCTCATCGGTTGTTTCCTTCCTCATTGGTAGAGAACACACCCTGTTCACTCACTCATCATCTTCACAAAGGACAGTGGAAAAGAACTGGGTTAAAGCATCCACGGACAAGAGGCTAAGTTCCAGTTTGAATAAGTTCCTGATTACCAGCAGTGATGTCTAGGGGAGTCATTCAATCCTTTCTGTAAAATAGGGGAAATAACGCCTGCTCTCCTTAGACCATGATGTTGGGAAAGATTGAAGGCAATAGGAGAAGGAGACAGCAAAGGATGAGTCGGCTAGTGTCATGGAAGTGATGAACATGAGCTTGGACAGATTTTGGGAGATAATGGAGGACAGAAAGGCTGGCTGTGCTATGGTCTATGGGGTCCCAGAGAGTCAGACACAACTGAACGAATGAACAACTCCTTACATCACTAGACTGTGGTTAGCCTACAAAGAGATAACATGTTCAAGTGCTTTGAATGATGTTGGACACTCTACAAATCTGGGTGCCCAAGTTAAGAGAGATTTCAGTAGATGGAGACTGAAGGGTTGCTCAGCCTGTGGCTCTCCCAGTAGCAGGGCTGAAGCATGGGTTCATCTCAGGGAAGGTTCTGGTCCTCAGCTTCCAAGATTCAGGACCTGGATCTTATCAGTCAAAGTGGAGGTTACCAGGTACCAGGGAACTAATTCACATTAAATATATCAAGAGACTAACTGAAAAGCCAGACTATGAATTCATTCATTGAGAATAGGCAACATGTCTGGCAAAGAAGCTATCATAAACCTTTTTTCACAGGGAATGTACTTCCTGGTCAGTAAGTTCATTTAGAAAATGAACACATTTACACTAAGCTGTCAAATTAAGGGGGAATGGGATGTGTGTGTGTGTGTGTGTGTGTGTGTGTGTGTGTGTGTGTGTGTGTGAAGATGCTAGGAGTAAATAGCATTTTCTTAAGCAGTATTTCCATTAAGCTAAGGGATATCTTGGTATGGATATACTCTGAACATTTTTTTTTCTTTTTTGAGACTGAGTCTTACTCAGGCTGGAGGAAGTCTAAGGACCACTCACAAGTCAGATTCCAATACTAGTCCATATGTAAACTTTAACCTGTTCCATTTTTTTCTAGCCTGGTAGCTCTCCAACTCTCTGGGTTACCATACTGGTGCTGCACTGGCGTGACTGGCCTAATTGGCTTTAGCCCTACTGTAGCTCAGGACTTCCAAACTTAAGATATTTATCAGCTTCAGCCTCTCTGATGTAGCAGGGATGATAGACATATACCACCATGGCTGGCAATATATTTGTTTCTCAACCTTTTTCATTATAAATCCTTTTGGCAGGTTAGTGAAATGAATTAATCTCATCAAAATAATGTTTCTAAATAAGTGAAAGAAATATATTTCAGTTAGAGTCAGTAGAAAACAAAGATATCATCCCCCGCCCCTCTGCAACCCCCCCCCAAGTTAATAGACCATCCTGAAATCTGTCAATGGACTGCAGCTTAAGAATCCCTGTTCCAAGGAATTGGTACTAGTTACATAAAATCAATGCTGGGTAAATACTGAAAAATACCTCCTCTTTGGGTGCTATCATTAGAGCTCTCTCAATATTCCATGGCAGGCATCATTAAAAAGTTCCCTCAAACTTTGTGATTCATCATGTGAAAATGATGCATATGTAACTGAGTTTCAGACTGATTTCCATGTTGTTGTTGTTCTCAAAAAGGATTAATGCTATCAAGGGGTGATGCCTTGACTTGCCCATGAATTGGATTTAGAGGAGAATGAACTGCATAAAATCATCAGCTTCACTCTCTCCTCCAGAGTCATCAAAATCCAGTGACAAGAAGAAAGTCAAGATGATTAGCGATGGCCCAGGATGCAGTGGGTGACCTTGGCCTTTCTAAACTTGGTCTTTTCCAGGTCTCAGTTTGTCTGAGGCAATGCCTACTCAATGAGTAAGGGCTACATAAGAACTGAGACAAAAGATGGCCCAATTTATTATCACAGAACTATCAATCTGGGAAGAGGAAGGTCCCAACAATTAAAAATGAGAAGAGAATCTTGTGTTTATAATTTTATTAATTACCTTTATTTATAATTATTTATAAACTCTTAAAGAAACTGAGAAAGAGATTTGCCCCAGGACTAAAAGAGTGAGTTATAGTTGTAACTAGAGTCAAGGTGTTTAAGACCATAGAAGCCTCTGGCAACTTCCCATCTTCGAGTTGGGGCTGAGGTAGAGATGGGGAACAAAGGGAAGGTCACACCTTTCAGTGGGAAGAGAAAGATGTGGCCTGGAAAGAATCAATTTCTCTCCTTTTCCTTCTGGGAGGAGGTAGTTAAAAAAAAAAAATAGCCAGCCAAACTTTGCTCCACAGTGACACCTGCTGTTTACATAAAATTAATTATTGTAAATTTCATTTTAATGAAAATGAATTTAAAATTAATATATATTAATACATCAGACCTGGGCTCCTTGAGAGCAGAGACTGCTACCTTTCTTTTTTATATTGCTAATAATAAAAATAACTAACATTTATCTAGTGCTTACTATGTGCCAGGCATGCTAAGTGCTTTACAATAATCATTTCATTTGACCTTCAGAACAATCCTGGGAGGTAGGTGCTATTATTGTCACCATTTTGCAAATGAGGAAACTGAAGGAAAGAAGTCAAGTGAGTTGATCAAGGTCACACAGCTGAAAAGTATCAGGGTCTATATCTGAACTCAAGTTTTCCTGACTCTAGACTCAGCAGTCTATCTACTGCACCACCAACTTGTACTTAGCACAGTCCTAGCACACAGGCACTTAAATGCTTGTTGACCAATTGGCAAATTAGAAGAGGCTGGCTGAAAACTCTAGACACAAGTTCTTGGGGTCAGCAGAGACAGAGGGACATTGCACTGTGAAAAGAAAGCCCTCAGATATTGTCTCCCTAGGAGAGGGAACCTGGGGACATTATAAAACCACTTCTGGGGAGGGAGCTGCTAGGGAAGGTCAGGACAGAGTGAGGCCAGGATGGAAAGGGGGGTGCAGTTGCAGGAGGAGGAGGTGGTTATCTGGTAACTTCTTATTTTAACATTATTCTTGCTCTGGAGGTTTTAAGACAGGATGGGGAACATGTGGCCTTCTGGATCCTCCGTGTGGCCATGTGACTGAGTCCAAGTTTTATGAGCAGGGCAGGGCAGGGCAGAGATTCCCCACCCCTGTAATCTAAGATCATTGCTTCTACTTCAGGAGTACAAGTGTTGTCAAAATGCAAAATGAAAATGCAACACTTGAAAAATTATACAATGGTTAAAAATTATTATTTTAAATTTTGAACCCTCTATATTTTGGTGCCCTGCTAAAGTGAAAACTCTTCATCTTTCCTTGTCCTTTTTTCATTCTTATCTTCCCTATTTTTCTCCTATTAATCTATTTATAGTTTTCTCCATTCACATTTTTCACTCTTTATTCTGCTCCCATTTCTTCCTCTCTTTTTGCATTTGTCTCTGACTTTGTGGTAGCAACCCCACTGCACTTGTGGTTCAAGAGATTTCTAAATCCTGATCTAAGTAAGTGACTTGGATAGATAAGTGATTTAGGGAGAATTAAGAATGACTCACTTGGCGAGAGATGCTTTTGTGCTGAATTGACAAGGTAATTGATATTTACATGTTCTGCCTTCCAGCGGCAAGCTTCAGACACTATCCTCTGACACTGATGGCTGCCTCCTGAGACTTGGTTTTATCCACTTACAAAACAAACAAACAAACAAGGTGTGGATGACCAATTCTAAATCTCATCTTTTCTATGTCAATGAATCAGAAGAGCCCCAATTGTGTGGAGATGGATCCACAGGGCACAACTCACATCTAGATACACAGATCTACACCACACTCTTTTAGGGGTGTCGAATTTGGGGGACAGTTTAAGAGGAAGGATTTCTTCTGAGCACTAATGATGATGCATGCTACCCATCCCATCAGAGAGCTTATGGTTGCAAGTTTCAGAAACAGACATACATTTTCTACATGACCCAATGTAGGAATTTGTTTTGCTCAAGCATATATATTTGCTACAAGAGTTTTGTTTTCTTTTTTTTCAATGGAGGTGGAAAGGTGAGAGGGAGAAAAAAGAAGGAAGACGTACAAGGAGACCCCTGAATCCAAAGGAAGAAGTTTTTTGTAAAAAGAAGATTCAGTATTTAGCTACAGAAATATAAATGAAGTATGGTAAACATTCTCTTTGTGTGCTCAGCAGCATCTGAGAACTACAGATGGGAAGAAAAGACCAACTATGTTCCTGAAGGAGGAGGAAAGAGGTGGGTTATGAACTCAACCTCATTGTTTCTGTGTGGTGCTGTATGGTACATGAGAAAGCCAAGTCACAGTTTTAGAAACAAACCAAAAGCCTTTGGAAATGGCTAGACATTCCATGGTTAAGTTTCTATCTTCCATTTGGCTCATTCTTAAAGTGAAATGTACTAAGAAACAATATAAAATACATGAGATACACCCGCTGGGGAAGTCACCCTTCATAAGGCAAGGTGTTTACATATTGCTAATTATATTAGTGCATCCTGCTAATGGCTTGAGATTCCCTTTAACAAAGAATGGAGGTCCAAAGCACAGAACCATGCTTAGTATAACTAATCAACATTCAAGCAGCAAGAGAGAAGCAGCAAGAGCAGGTCCCAATCACCAATGGACTCAGCTGAGCCCTCACGCAGAGTTAAGCAGTCAATAAACATTTAATAAGCACTTAGTATGTTCCAGGCATTGTGCTAAGTACTAGGGATACAAACAAATGCAAAAAATATTTGCATTTCCATTCTCAATGAGCTTATAGGTCCAATAAGAGGACAATATGCAAACAACTAAGGTCCAGGTATTGTGCTCAATGCTCGGAACACAAATGCAAAACATATTTCATTTCTGCTCCCAATGGACTTATATGTCTAATGGGGAGACAATTATACAAATAAGTTAATAATAACAATAGCAATACTAGCTAATAATAAAACAATAGTAATAATAGCTAGCATTTATATACTGTTTTAAGGTTTGTGAAGCTTTTTGCAAATATCTCATTTCATCCCCATAACAACCCTGTGAGGTAGATACTGTTATTGTCTTCATTTTATAGATGATGAAACTGAGGCAGACATAGATTAAGTGACTTGCCCAGGATCACCCAACTATTAAATATCTGAGATAGGATTTGAACTCAGTTCTTCCTGACCCTGAGTCTAGCACTCTATCAATTATTCTACTTAGCTGCCTCTGTGATGCCTCCAGATATGTACGTAATTCTTAAGGTGCCCACTCCTGCCAGAGGAATGCACTGAACAGAGATATAAGTAAAGGAGGGCATAGCTCTATGCTCCCAGAATGGCCTAACCAAGTCATATGGCTTTCCCCTTTTATTCCCTAGCACAAATCATGTCTATATAAGTTCACAGAAAGGACCTGGCATATCTTTTGTTTGGCTGCTTTTCTTCCAATTGGAAGAAATATAATATATTAATAAAACAATAATGTGATAAGCTATATTATAATGCATTTGTCAATACAGATCACTCCAGAGTAGGCAGGGCTGTGTGATGGCCAGGCAGCACTGACCTGCCCTTGTTATTAGGCACATCCTATCACAGGGGTACTCTAAAAGTTCCTTAAGGAAAGACCACTTAAAAGAGTCCTAAAGTCAGAACATGGCATCATGTACTCCACTGTACTGTAACACATACGAGGTAGTGATACAACATAAATGCCATGGTCTAGAAAAGGTAGAATGAGTTGCATGGTAGAGAAGCTTCCATGGAGATGAGTCCTTAATCCCTGGACTTCTCACATTTAAAGCATCTCCTCTTCCACCCACCTCCATCTTTTAGAGTTGTTTTCTTTACCACTTTTTCATATTCTTGCTTTATTCATCTATGGTACATTAGGAAGAGTCAAAGGACTCTGAGTACTAAGAGCACATGGAAAAGCCAAGTCACAGCTTTAGAAGCAAAGTCTACATTTGGGGTCAAAGGACCTGAACATTACAACCTGTAGCGAAGTCATATAAGCTCTCTTATCCTCCATTTTCTCATCTGTAAAATGATGGGGTTAGACTAAACCTCACCCAAGGGCCCTTTCAACTCTGGCTTTACAATCTCATTCTTTTCAGAAAAGCTTTTATTTAGTCACCTTTATCTGGGATTCATTAAAAACAACAACAACAACAACTGTACTGGGATACAAATGATTGCATCAGTGAGAAGCCTTAGTAGATGATTTTCATGAATGGTAAGTGCAAGAGCAAATTCACCAGTGGGTGGCTACACTCCCTGGATAGGAGCATCTCTCTCTCTCTCTCTGGAATAACATTTTATCTTTTCCCAATCACATGTAAAAAAAATTTTTAACATTCATTTTTAAAAATTGTGTTTTTTGGGGGGTGAGCCAAGATGGCAGAGTGAAAGCAGTGACTTGCTTGAGCTCTCCCCCAAACCCCTCCAAATACTCATAAAAAATGGCTCTAAACAAATTCTGAAGCAGCAGAACCCACAAAAAGACAAAGTGAAACAAATTTCCAGCCCAAGACAAACTGGATGATTGATCAGAAAGGTGTATTGCACCGGGCTGGGAGTGTGGCGCGCAGGCCAGAGCAAACTTGGAGCAGGCCTCAGAGGACTGAATTGTGGGCAGCTGTGGAGTTTCCGGACTCCTCAATCCATGCATGCCAAAGACAGCTTAGAAGGTCAGTGGGAAAAGTCTGTTTCTGCAGTGCTGAGAGAGGAAGGTGGGGTCTTAGCTCCATTCCCCAAGAGCATAGCGGGGGGGGGGGGGGGGGGGAGGCAGCTGCTTCCTGAGCTTCCGGCCCACATACTGAGGGGGAATCCAGTGGCTGATCAGACAGGGATTGCAAGGATCTCTTTGCCAGTGCTGAGGCAGGAATCTCTTGCTTTGCCTGTGTTTGGATCTGGGTCACAGTTCTGGGTGGCGGTGCTGGGGTGAGGAGGAGCGCTGGCACAGTAGAGCTTGTAGTGGCTGGGAGAGGAACCCCTCCTCACAGTTACAGGACAGAAAGGAGTACTTGTGGTCATAGGCCAGGAAAGGAGTAAACACCTCGCCCCTTATCATACCACCTTGGAAGAACTGAAAATTTACAGGTTCCTACCAGTATCTCTGAAAACAGCTGTACAAACCCATGAAGCTTGGGACAGTACATTCTCCACATTGGAAGCAGACTCTTACCTTAACAAAGAGTTTAAAACTCAAGTAATTGGCTGGGATCATGAGCTAGCAGCGCAAAAAGAGTCAGACTATATTATCTTACTTTGGTGAAAAAGAAGATCAAAATATACAACCAGAAGAAGACAACAAAGTCAAAGCTCCTACATCCAAAGCCTCCAAGAAAAATATGAGTCCCAGGTCTTGGAAGACCTCAAAAGAGATTTTGAGAAGCAAGTAAGAGAAGTAGAGGAAAAACTGGGAAAAAATGAGAGTGATGCAAGAAAATCATGAAAAACAAGTCAACAGCTTGCTAAGGGAGACCCAAAAAAAATACTGAAGAAAATAACACCTTAAAAAATAGCCTCACCCAAATGGCAAAAGAGGTCCAAAAAGCCAATGAGGAGATAAATGCCTTAAAAAGAAAAATTGGCCAAATGGAAAAGGAAGTCCAAAAGATTACTGAAGAAAATAAGTCCTTAAAAATTAGAATAGAGCAATTGGAAGCCAGTGACTTCATGAGAAATCAAGATACTGTAAAACAAATCCAAAAGAATGAAAAATTAGAAAACAATGTGAAATATCTCATTGGAAAAACAACTGACCTGGAAAATAGATCCAGGGGAGAGAATTTAAAAATTATTGGACTATCTGAAAGCCATGATCAAAAAAAGAGCGTAGACATCATCTTTCAATCAAGGAAAACTGCCTGGATATAATAGAACCAGAGGGCAAAATAGAAATTGAAAGAATCCACAGATCTCCTCCTGAAACAGATCCCCAAAGGAAAACTCCTAGGAATATTATAGCCAAATTCCAGAGTTCCCAGGTCAAGGAGAAAATATTACAAGCTGCCAGAAGGAAACAATTCAAGTACTGTGGAAACACAATCAGGATAACACAAGATTTAGCAGCTTCTACATTAAAGGACCGCAGGGCATGGAATATAATATTCCAGAGGGCAAAGGAGATAGGATTACAGCCAAGAATCACCTACCCAGCAAAACTGAGTATAATCCTTCAGGCAAAAAAAATGGGCATTCGGTGAAATAGAGGACTTTCAAGCATTCCTGATGAAAAGACCAGAGTTGAATAGAAAATTTGACTTTCAAATACAGGACTCAAATGGAACATGGAGAGGTAAACAGGAAAGAGAAATCATAAGAGACTTATTAAGATTGAACTGTTTACATTCCTGCATGGAAAGATGATATTTATAACTCATGAGACCTTTGTCAGTATTAGGGTAGTTGGAGGAAAAAAATTATATGTATGTATAGATAGATAGATAGATAGATAGATAGATAGATAGATAGATAGATAGAAGGCACAGGGTGAGTTGAAGATTAAGGGGTCATATCTGGAGAATAAAATTAAGGAATGAGGGAGGATTATACTCAGAGAAGAAAAAAGGGAAAGGTAAAATGGGGTAAATTATCTCACAAAAAAAACAGAAAAGAAAAATCTCTAAGGGGAGGGGAAACAGGGGAAGGTCAGAAGGAACGAGTGGATGTTATTCTCAGAGGATTTGGCTTAAGGAGGGAATAACATATACATTCAATTGGGTATGAAAATCTGTCTTACCTTACAGGAAAATAGGGGGAGAAGGGGACAAGAGAGCAGGGGGATGATAGAGAGGAGGGCAGATTGTGAAAGGGGGTAATCAGAAGTAAATACTTCTGAGGAGGAACAGGGTCAAAAGAAAGAATAGAATAAATGGGAGGGCAGGATAGGATTAATGGAAATAGAGTTAGTTTTTCACAACAGGTCTGCTGTGGAAGTGTTTTGCATAACTACACATGTACAACCTATAGTGAGTTGCTTGCCTTTTCAATGAGGGTGGGTTGGGAGGGAGGAAGAGAGAAAATTTGAAACCCAAAGTTTTCACATGCTTCTGGGAAATAAGAAATACAGGAAATGGGGTAAAGAAGTCTATCCTACCCTACAGGAAAACA